TGGTTTTCTTGGGTGTGGTCTGTGTTGGTGTACTGTTCTTTCCCCGGATGAAAATTGAAAGCTCCTTTTGTGTTGCTCTTTGGAGTTGAAATTGTACAAGAGATGATGATGATGATGATCGATGATGAGTGTCTCCTCCTGATGAGGGATACGTGACATAAAACAGCTAATTTCTGTCCTGTGATGAGACAAAGAGAAAGAAACAAAGGGTGTGCATGAATTAACAAGAAGAAAAAAAAAATCTATAATTTCCATAAATCAACAAAAAAAATAATGGAAAGTCTACTCACTTTGTATTTTGTTATGGCACAAATGCTTCTGTTAGTTGTCTACTCATTTTAGGGAGATGTTACGGTTTCATTACAGAACCATTTCGTCGAGGTTTGTAATTGTTAGATCATCATGTAACTGTCGGGGATAGTTGATTTAACGGTTACAAATTCCGACAGCATGGTTCCGTAACAAGACCGTATCATTTCCCCTCATTTTATGATATACTTTAACATAAGCCCCCCTTTTGTGCAGTGCAATGCACACAGATATACTATGTTTAATATAAACAACACACCAGAAATTACGTTTGTTAGAAAAACCAACAAAAAATAACCTAATTACTTAGTACAAATAATTGTCAATTGTTATTTATCTTAGTTTGATTTTACTTTTATCAATGTTCAGAGGGAGAAATCAAATTTGTTTGGATAACAAAGTTGCAAACTATTATGAACAGTTGTTGATTGTACTTGACTATATATTGATTAATTCTTGTGGTGGTTATTATGACAAGTATTGTATTCTATTTTCTTGAATTTAATTTTTGTATAATATAAATATGAAAAATGTAAAGACGTGAAGAATTTGAGCAAAGGTGGAGAATTGATGGAGCTGGACAAAACATTGGTCGTCCACTTTTATATGTCCCAATCCATTCACTTTCTTTAATATAGCAACAATTTTCATCGAGCTCAATTCAATCACAATGCTCAATCCAACAACTTTCCTTAATATAGCAACAAATGTAAAAGGATGAAAGTTTTCTTAATTTCATTTTGCATTTTACCACAATTCAATCACAAGGGTCACCATCGAGCTCAATATATATGTCGTACAAGTAATTATTATTATTCAATGCCTACTGGTTTTTTTTTTGCCTTTTATAGTTTGAATTTTCATCTTGGCATAAAAGATTAATTTAATACAAAAAAATGTTAAAAAAAAAAAGTAAATGAGAAAATATGGCCTTCCCTACCTCAAAAGGTCGGATTTTTTTACAAAAAAAAAAAAATTAAATGTTAAGTTGAAGACAAAAAAAGAAAGGAAAAAGGGGGAGTGGAGAGAAATAAAAAGGAGGTATTTCACAAATACGTTTTTTACATTTTTTAATTGTAAAACGTATTCAGTGAATACGTTTTCTTTTGTAAAAAAAATGTGAAAAATGTATTTAGTGAATACGTTTTTTGATTAAAATATACAGAAAACGTATTTTATAAATACGTGTTTTTTATGTTGGTCTACTACCCTCTTTTTTTGTTGTTTTTTGTCCACTTATTATTTTTTTATTAATAAATATATAAATTACTCTCAAAAGGTCATCTATATATATAAATAAATATGAAAGAGCTATATTTAGCTCAATACCAACCTATCTACGTCTTCAGTATACTTATTTTATGTATGCCTTTTTGGCTGCTGCTTGCTTATCCATTGCTTATCTTTGGTTCTTATCAAATAACACAACACTGTCACATGGACCTAAATTGCTACATAAATATATATATATATATCATTTTGTTATAAAATACGGGGAATATAAAGAACACAATGTATAAAAACCGGAACAATTATAATCTGCTTTCTTTCTTCACTTTTCCGTACCAAAAATCTCATTACATCTCTTGCCTATTTATAGCCAAAAATTGGCACACATTTCAACACACACTTAATAAAATAATACAAAGATAAAATTGAATAGTGGTAAAATTCCACCACTTGTTTATAACACTCCCCCTTGGAATTACCACTATTAAATGTGCGTTTATGCTGCCTCGTTAAAAACCTTATCTGGAAAAACCCTGTGGGAAAAAAACCGAGATAAGAAAAAAAGAGTACA